ATAGATCTCACATCTGATGCTATGGGCTACATGTGTTGGTTAAGTGCAACTGCTCTTTACATGTCAATTGCACTTGCCTGCTTCTGTCAAATTGATTTTGCTGGTTTTAATTCTGCAGGTCACTCATTATCTTGGTGGGGAAAATTATGTTTTCTGGGGTGGTAGAGAGGGCTATCAAACCCTTGTGAACACTGATATGGAAAGAGAGCTGAATCATTTGGTAATTTCTTTGTCGGCCCTTTTGTGGAGCAACTGCTAAAACTTATATTTCTGTACAACGTCTTCATTTTCATCTCTTGCTATTTTGTCTATTAGTTTTTATCAAACAGATCCAGCTAAACATTACCACAGACTAAAGAATTTATTCTCTTTGTGGTTATGCAACCTAGTACATTGTTTCATACATAGTTGGATCTCTAGCTAAGTATAACAATTAGTTGGATCTCTTCGCAGGCGAGGTTTCTTGAAGCTGCTGTTGCCTACAAGAAGAAGATTGGTTTCAATGGTATTTTTCTACATTCACTTTGTTGAGTATATATTTTAATTTGATTGATTTATGAGATGATGTGCTAAGAACTAGTAGTTTTGAAGTAGAAACTGTGTTTTAGCATTCCTATGTGCTTATTATCTCTTTGCCTTGACTTATCTAATTCTTTTTCATTATTCACAGGGACCTTTCTCATTGAGCCTAAGCCTCAAGAGCCTACAAAACACCAGTGCGTTTATGTTTTAATGTTTGATTGTGCATTTTAGTCCATAATTTTGGGCATATTCATTTGTTTTGATGGATGGCAGGTACGATTGGGATGCTGCAACATCAGCTAATTTCTTGCGCAAATATGGCCTCATAGGTGAGTTTTACACTCTTGTAGCCCCTATTTTACTAGTAAATGTGAGTATTATTTCTCTTGGAGTGAGTGTTGAAAGTCAAAAGTCCATTGCATCATCAAGCTCCAATCTTGATTTGTCATTGTTTCTGGTATCTTTTGAGATATCAGTGTTCTGCAATTGTGCTTGCCCGCATGGATCGACTCTATAATTGCAGCTAATCGAATCATAAATAAGCATCATGTATACCCTTGAGGACAGTGGAAGAGATAACTTTGCTTTATGATGGTTCTTGTCTTGATGTTCACTGCTTGTACCACCTTCTGCAGATGAATTCAAACTGAACATTGAATGCAACCATGCCACTCTATCTGGTCACAGGTTTGAAAATTTCCTGATTTCGACATTCTAGTTGAAATCTCTACTTTATCTGGCTTTTCAGTTGATTTGAATTCCGATGTGAACAAATGGAATGAGTTGTTTTTACATGCTCCTTTTTGTATTGCAGCTGTCATCATGAACTTGAAACTGCTAGAATAAATGGTTTGCTGGGAAATATTGATGCAAACAGTGGCGACCCTCAAACTGTTACTTGAAGTTCATGATCAATAGTTGTTCTTTTGGTCATGGCAGAGACTTGTTATCCTGTGAAAATCATTTTTGGCTATAGGTTGGGACACAGATCAATTTCTAATGGATATCCAGGAAGCAACCTTGGTTATGCTCAGTGTTATTAGAAATGTATGTACAGTATGGTCTATCTCTTGAACATATTAAAATTGATGGCAAATGTTAAATGATCACTGTTTAACAGTTTACTGTCAATTACAGGGAGGATTAGCACCAGGAGGGTTCAATTTTGATGCCAAATTGTTAGCTTCTTCTCCCACTTTGTTGTTTTAGTCTCATTTCTTTTGCCAATGCATATCCTGTTAATTGCGATGGATTTATTTGTAATTTTTGTCCAGTATGTTTAGATGGAATGGGTGCAACTCGGTTTAGTAGTGCTTTAAAAAAAAAAAAATTGTAGTCAGTGCATAAGTGGGAGACAACTCAAATTTGTAAAACTTCTTTGCACAATTATACGAACGATTTTGATATGGTGGAATTGAAAGTAAACCCACGCCATTGTGGAAAAATGCAGAATATATTTGACCTCTCTGGCCTTTATATCCATGGATGAACCTTGCCTTGCAATGAAGATTCTATTTAGAATTTTGCTTCACAATTTTATTCATCGCTATTTATCAGGCGAAGGGAGAGCACAGATGTTGAGGATTTGTTCATTGGCCACATTGCTGGAATGGATACTCTTGCACGTGGTCTTCGAAATGCTGCGAAGCTGATTGAGGTGATGTTTCTCACTCGATAATTACTTTTTTACTTTCACCTCTCCCTTTCTAAAGATGCTTAAACTTTTTAAGCAAACGATGACGTTTGTTTTGGGGCATTGATCCTGAAAACAGGATGGCTCTTTGGATGAACTTGTTCGCAAGAGATATCAAAGTTTTGATACAGAACTGGGAGCCCAGATCGAGGTGACATTCTTTGGTTTAAGCTTTTAACTGATGCTTTGACTAGTCATCACTTTGCTTCCTTTTATCTCAAACGAATTTCTGATAATGTGTCATAACAGGCTGGGAAGGCGGATTTCGAACTGCTTGAGAAGAAAGCCAAGGAGTGGGGAGAACCCAAAGTTCCTTCTGCCAAGCAGGTAAGTCTTAAGACGAACAGTTCTTATAGCGACTGTTAAGTGCATTTTGCTGTTTTTCACTGACTGAATATCTTGTAAATTGATCTAGGAACTTGCGGAGATGATTCTCCAGGCTGCATTATAGAAGAGAGTCGTTCAACTTAAAAACACCTTTACTCAAAAATGCTGTCCCACCTCCGTACTTCTTCCTCCATGCCCTTGTTCTAGAGAATAATCCCTGGTGCCTTTTAGCAGCAGTACAGGTTGTTGTGCCGAAGAGTCAATGACACATCTCAGCATTATCTATTATATTTTACCTTGTGTAGTTAGCTAAAGACTACTATTTAGTTGATAATTTGATGCCATAGCTCTATAGGAACAACCCCCCCCCCCCTCCTCCTCCTCCTCTCCCTTTCTCTCTCTCGTTGTACCCCCATATGGTGGGAGGCTAGATGAAAATCCTTATCAGACGTTTTTTGGTAAAAATCCATTTGAACAATTCTTGCGGATTAATACTATAACCAAAGATCTCCTGCCCATGTGAAACCACTGCTTCAAGTAGACCGTCACCTGGCGGTCAAATGTCACAGGCGTTTGTTCTCCATCATGCTGGCAGCTTGAGGGGTCTTAGTTTATGTACGAAAGATCGACAGCTTCAAACATCTCACTCCTTCACAATGCACTCGACGGTCAATCCAAGGATATTTTCAACATTCAGGGTGTGGTTTGATCAATGAACCAATCTCTTCAAGAATTTAGAATTTGAAAATTCTGAGTTCAAATACCCCATTTCCCCTGCCTTTGCTGATTTTTTTTTCTCCAAAAGACCAATCAATCTCTCGATTTTCCAATTTACTCTTTTTCTATTTTGACCTATTTCAGCTTCTAAGGACTAGCAGACTTAATTAGAACAAAAGAATGGTTTGGTACTTCCTTTGAATTCTTTTGACTACAAGTAGAATTCGAAATCCAAAGAAGGGTTTAGTCTTTTTTGGTAACCGGTTAGCCAAAGCTAGTGGTTCTTGGGTTTGTCGTACACGTAGGCCCTTTTCTTTTTGTCGTAATTCAGGAGCGGATTGTTGTCATTTTCGCTAGAACTTGTCAAATCATGAAACGGAGAGCTTCTCTGTTATAAAGATATTTTATTTTAGTGGCGTTGATTGTTATTGTGGCTACCTCAATTTTCTGTGGAGGATTGTTGTGGTTTCTTCAATTTTCTGAAACACATTCCTGATGAATGACATCTTTCACGTTATGGTCACAAAATGTACTCCACTAAATTCGAATTTTGATTTTCTATAAGATCCTACCTTTGGAAAGTGCCACCAAACATGTTGAAGTAGCTTTTTTAAAGAAAACTGATTCTCCATTGTGATATTTCCAGTTTTTGCATTTTCTTCCGCCTTAAGAGTGTTACCAACATGAGCAGTGCAACTGTGCAAAGGAACTTTGGGTTGAAAGGACTTGGGAATTTTGATAGTACAGTTAAACTACAGCGCCCTACTCTAATGTGAAAATAGCCAAATACTAATCGAACAGAAACCAGCAAGTTTACAAGCACAGTCCCACCACATTTTTTTTTTGGTCCCACCACGTTAGTAATTAACCATAGGATGATTTTAAAACCTACCGATAGCCATCTTGGTTCAAATTTCATATTCCTTGTCACCCATCACCAATTTGAGGATCTCCAATCAATATACCCCAGGAGATCCATTTTATGAGTCAGAAGCACATAACAGCAGTTGCAATGCAAGGCAGGCAAAGGAATCAGAAGAAGCAAAGTCATGCCGAATTGTCAAGAGCATATTGAAACCAAAGCTGCCACTGGAGGTTAAAGGAAAGAACAGGAACTAAATTGTCAATATTATGTCATTTAGAAGTTAGTAAAACGTCGTCTCCGCTACACCATACATAAGAACACTTAATGCAAGACCAAATTCCAGTTTTCTGGACCACGTGCAATTAAGTTTTACTTGTCAAACGTCAGATAGCAGTTGCTCTAGTTGAAGAGGACCAATTCTAGAGTCTAGACTACAGGTTCTTCGGCCTCCAGCTCTGTGCGAAAAATACATCTAAGCGAGAATTTCAAAAAGAAAATAAAGCTGGAAGACCAAAAAATTACATGCTTTAAAAGACTTAGAGCACGCTTACTTGTAGCTACCTAAAAGAAAATGGGTCTCGCATGCTTCAGACTGACTAGTCTTAGTAAAGAAACAGGAATTCGACATTACTTCACATAATATTTAAACATACTCTGTTGATCACCATGCGTACCACAAGTCATCGGAAATACCGGACAAAAGGGCCTAACAGATAGAAGTAGGGGATTATCATTTGAACCACACTTCTTTCTGTTCTCAAAGAAGCAGCTCCAGAAACACTTCCATTCAAGGAAACAAATAAAACTTTTTCTCACCCATCCCTCAAAAACAAAAAAGTTGCAAGCAAATTCTTGCAAGTAATGTAAGGAAGCATATTGAGGAAGAAATCTTTTGGCAAGTGTTGCATTCTATTAAAGCAAACTTTCAACATCAGATGTCCATAAAGCAAGCTCCCAGCAAGGGAATCAGATGACTCCACAATTAGCATTAAAGTAAGTAGCATCAACAAAAGACTAACTTGTGAAAAACAACTAATACTAATCCCAAAGAAGACTAACTTCTCAAAAGAACAATCACCGGACAACAACATAGGGGACTAACTTGCAAAAACTGACTTGTCAACAAAACAACCACCAGAAAAGAGCCACATTCTAACGAAACATATGCAAGAAATTATGACCCAGTAGTTCATCAACAGATGCCCTGGAATCCACATCCCTAATCAAACATCGCTGAACAAAATCCCGGAACTGTGAGGTAGAATTGGGCAACTCAGGAACAACGAAGTCATTAATAATCTCATTGTAAGTCTGAAACTTATCAATGCAGGGAAAAGGGAAATGTCCCATATAAATTTCCAGCAATAAGATCCCCAAGCTCCAAACATCACTCTTGTCGGGTCGGTCGGTTTTGCGCAGTTGATGCTGCAACATTTCGGGACTACAGTATTGAATAGTGCCGAGGACTGTCAAAATGGATTGCATGTTGCCGATGTCCAATCTCCTGCTCGAACCAAAATCTGCAATCTTAACATTGCCGTAGTTATTTCTCAACACGTTCGCTGGCTTCAAGTCCCTGTGGATGATTCTCTCGTCCCGTAGATAACTCAGACCCGTCAATATCTGTTGCGCAATGTCTGCGATCACATTCTCGTCTTCAGTGTGAAAATCTTTCAAAGATCCATCCATCAGCTCAAACATCATTTGAATCTCGGTTACGCTAGCCCAACCAGAAACCAATTCCACAAGGTTAGGATGATGAAGTTGAGCTAGAGTTTCCATCTCTCTCAAAATCAACGAGCGTTGTTTCTCGCGTTCATCCGTCATACCGTCCGAAATCCTTATCCTTTTCCTCGCATATTCTTGACCGGTATGTTTGTTCCTCACCCTATCAACACTACCCGAAACGCCACTTCCCATATGTGATATAAACTCATAATCAGCGGGATCGAACGCTTGCACGAGAGACGGCATTTTCATCACTTCGGGAGCAGTTGGCTGCGGGATCTGAAGGCTGAGGCTCATCCCCGAACGAGGGCGGTAGCGGGAACGAGCATCGTCAGGAGGCGGACAGTTAGGAGGACCGTCAGCCATTGAAATTTGTACCTGTGAAGAATTAGGGTTACAGGAAGCTGCAAAATAATTGAAGACTAAGGTATGTTAAAAGTCTTTGTCCCCCCAAGTTAGGATCCGTCCATTGAACTATCCCCTTTCAATGAACCAAGGTATGGAACTCAGAAGTGCTTATCTGTGCCAGGAATTAATCAGTGCATGACCAGTTCCTAAAACCAAAATTTAAGCAGAAACCAAATTATATCAAACAAATCATGATTTGAGTGCAGATTCTACTTGTTGAGCCCCATAACATGTGCAAAATTAGAACCAAGACAGTAGAAGTTGGGGAAATACTCTTTTAACTGGTCTTTGGTCCTAACTATGATAGTCACTAACATGACAATACAGTAAAAGTCAAAAACAATCGATGAAATTAATGTTTCTAGGTCTATCAAAGTATTATTTCCAATGGAATTTAAAGATAGTTCGAGCCATTACAAGACATTAAAGGATCATTCAGCATACAAACACAAAGGCAAAAGTAAAATCATTTTTGTTTAGGACCAAACAGTAAGCTAAAGATCATCTCTCAAATCATCTAATACTCCATAACAATGGGACACGTAATTTTTCAGAAAACTAAACCAGTGTAGTGGTAAAGCTACCTTTAGAAGCAAATCATCAAACACAAAGCATGCTACTATTGTAAGAGATGATCACACACCTTAAACACTGGATGTTTGCTGTGCTTCTTCTTGATTCTTTAAAACTTACAAAACAATCAATAATAAAAAAAGCAAACAGTTTTGCTAGGAGGTCAATTTTTGGTCAAAAAAAGGCTAGAAAAACTCAACAATAAATTCATCAAATGGCTGAAAATTGATGCGAAAGTGTGAGTTTTTCTTTGTGTTTTTGGCTAGGAAGGCAAATAGGGGTGGGGAGGGGAGATGTATAGTGCTTTCCCCTCTTTGATTCTCTCCTTTTTCTGGGAAAAAAAAGAATTGCATGGTTGGGAGATGAGATAGGGTACATATAAGGTATATCAGAAGGCCAAGCATAAATTGGGGGGGAAAATCACTAATTTTTTGGCCAATAAGAATTTTTTTAAAATATACTTTATTGATATTTCGATGCCTTAAAATACCACATAAAACCAGTAAAGCGCGGCTATATCTTCTTAAGAAGCATAAGCAAAAACTTATCATAAGAGTAAATAGCCAAACATATAGGCACATAACACTAATATTAAAATATTTAAAATATCAGCCCATATAATATTAACAAAAATTTCAGCAAATTAATGATACAAATCAGAGGTAAACTAACCTGGAATGAACAGAAATTTTACTGCAAAACCTTTTCTATTTTCAGACCAAAGCTGAAAATTACAAAAAAAAAATTACTTATCAGTATATATGTCCGTGGTGCAAAAAAATAAAGAAAAAAAGAATGGCAAGAAATGTATTTACCAGGATGCAAGGGAACAAACGGCACCAAACCACTTGCGAGGATTTTCCACTTTCCAAACAAAGCTGAAAATACAAAAAAAAAAAAAACACTAATTGTGTAGCATTCGTGTCTCTGCTATGCGAAGAGGAAAAAAGCAAACAAGTTTTAAATTTTTCTTTACCATATAGGAATACACCAAAAGGCAAGAAACCTCTCTATTTTTCTTTTCACCTATGAGAAAATGAAATAGATGTATATCCTATAAAGCCTCTAACCTCAAGCGCCCTTTTCTATTCCTCCGGTATTTAATACTGATTCTACTTCCCTCTTACTAAGCAGCCATCAAATCGATGCCGAGAGAGTAAAATTTAGAGTCAGAAATTGTTGACAAAGATCTAAAGGTTGAGAAATAAGGGTTCGTACGGGCTTAGTGAATCAGACAAGGGACCAATTTTTGAGCAAAAAATCCCTGAATTTTAGGGTAAAAGTGTACGCCTAATCTATGGAAAATTTTGTGGGTTTCAGGTCTGCAAGTACAAATACCTGATAAAAGGAAAAAATCTACAGTGAAAATAAGCAAGAAATTGCGGTGATTGTCAAGCATAAAAAAGGGCAGAGAAAGGAAAGAAGAAACAGAGAAGCCAGAGAGAGGAGGCGGGAGACTTACCCAAAAAAGAGAAGAGACGGGAGAAGGAAGACAACAATCATCAGTTCGTGCAAACTCCCCAGGTAAGGAAAACAATCAATCCTTTAATCATCATTAGGAATGATCCAACGGTTCTCAGGCATCAATCTTAGATTAAGACACGATCCAACGGCAGAAAGTTGCCAAAAAAATCTTTATTACCCTAACAAATGCAACTAAGGGGAGATATGGTTCGAAATTACAATAGTACCCCCCAATAATTAGAAACTATTCTGATCTACTTTTATCCCTGAAGGGCTTAGTGGACATTTAACACTTGGGCAGACAAAAATGCCCGTGAATAGTAGAGCACTTTTTGCCAAAGTAATCAAAACTCAAGGGCTTAGTTGACATTCGACTCAATTTCAACACAAATTTTTTAAAGTCCCCAGTCTCCTTCGAACATATGGCACAATGTGGTGTAAAGTCTTGAGTTTTTATATATATGTAAAATATATATTCACCTACATTAATAATTTTATTAAAGAATTTAAACAATTAGTATATAAATATCATTTGAAACTTAATTGATAATTAATTGAAATGCCAAAAGAAAATATAAAAGGAAAAACTATTTTTCAATCAACTTAATTTACATATATAGTTGTTTATAGGGTGAGGATGAGTTGGGAGAGTGTAAATGAGATGTCCGGATTCGAGACCTCCCACTTATACTCAATATATATATATATATATACATGCACACATACTTTACATTTGTAAATAATATTAAAACAATATACAATTCATCATCATTTAAGTATTGACATGATTGCAAGTAATTTGACAAATTTAAGATCAACTATGCAAAAAAGAAAAAAAATATTAGAAATTCGTGGTATGATTAATGAAATAAGGAAACAAAAAAAGAAGAAGAAAGTCTTATTTGTTTATTTTTTCATATTTTTTGATACTAAATTTTTAGTACATGTAATATATTTCAATCCAGTTCATGCTTAGTTTTATCCTGAAACCCTCAATATTACTATTCAAAACTTAAGGGACTATAATGATTCACATTCGAAATTTTGGGGACTAAAAATATAAAGTCAAAATAGTTGACTTACGGAAATTTGGTTTTGACCGGTAGAAATGATTGAATTTTGTGTATAGAAAATTATGTAGCATACCACAGGCTTTTGATTTAAATAATTGAACTCAAACCCACTCCAGTCACAGCACCACAAATTAGTGAGAGGAAGCAGAAACAAAAGCAGACCTTCAATCATTAAGAAATGCACAACTTGACCAGAAAGGTTAAAATATGAATTATCAAGATAACTAACAGCAATCTGCAGAGATAAGCAAAACATAAGCCCATGGTCAAAAAATTTCAGAAAATTTTCACCTCAAGCGAATTTCCTCTACAGAATCTTTGGCATCATCCGTAGTAGTAACTGCGAAAGGCAGCTTGGATCTCACAGTATTCAGAACAAGGACACGCTTAGCAGCCACCTGCAAACTTAAGCAATTGTACTAAAATCACCAAAAAAAATAATCATCCAGGAGCAAATCCAAGTTAAGGAAGTAATAAAACAGCGGTCATTAGTTAATAGAATTCGTATTCCACAATCAACTACACATCATAATTCCACAACCAACTTTGCAGAAACTAATAAATTGCGGAGCACTGAAATAAAGAACTCATCCATAAACATATGATTCTAACATCAGAAACTATTCATTACCTTGAATTGCAGAAAAGGTTTATCATGAGTTCATTGATCAAATTAAAGAAAAATCAAGAAACAAAGATACAAGGAACCGAAATCAAGTAAATTAACCCCATTAACCAAGTAACAAGGAATCAGTCAAATTAAAATAATACAAAAAATGAACTAATGGAGAAAAAGAAGAAATTTTTACCAGAGCTGAAAGGATATGATCAATCCTCTCTTTAATCCCGAAATCAGGAATCCAGTATCTACACAAAGTAAAACACGGAATATAGACACAATGATAGTAAAAATAACAAGAGGGGAAAAAAGAAAAAAGAAGAAGAAGAAAAGGAAACTGAAACCAACTTTATCCATCATGTTAATAAACTCTCCGTCTTTGAACAAATTTGGTGGCCAATTTGCCAGTATCATAGTCAAGTTCGACCACAATTCCGTCACAAAATTCAAGCTCAAGCGGAGAAAAGCGAATGAATTCGGTTTCACCTCCCCGGAATATACGAATCTCCAAAGAAGAGAGCACTCGGAGGGGTGGCAGGAGTGGTGAAGGGTAGAGGGATGGTCGGAGGAGTGAGGGGTAATGGGGGTGATGGTGGTGCGAGAGGCAAAATGTTAAAGTTGAGATGGAAGCGGCGGTGGAGAGCAAGAGCCATTGAGCCGAGCAAAAGCGGTGAATTAGACAGAAAGAGGGACGCGAATAAACTTGACCCGATTTTAATTTTTTACCCACATTGGATCCGCGTATAGACCCGTTTTTTAGGATTTAGACGTGGAATTGGAATCAGAATTCTTTTGGTCTGATAAAAAATTCAACTCAAGGGTTATTATCACTTTACCCCTACTATCAATTTCCCCCTTAACGTTATCTTTTAGCCACTTTACCCCCAAGACTAACTTAACGAAATTTGTTAATTAAAGTGAAAAGACATGTTTAACCCTTAAAATTATTATCACTTTTCCTCCTTAAAATATAATCTCATTATCAATTTACCCCCTAAAGTTATTTTTTTAGACAATTTATCCTACCATTAAACCAACTTAGCAAGTTAAAAAATTTTAGAAGAAAATACCCTCCTCTTTGCATAATAAAAATAATAAAAAATTTAAAGTGACTCTTCTCCTTTTTAGTATTAAGAAAAAAAATCAAAGTATTAATTTCTTTCTTCTTGACAATCTTATTAATATTGAAAAAAAATAGAAAGATGGAGAGGGGGGGAGGGGGAGCTCAATTCTTTTTTTGAAAATTACAAATAAAAAAGAATTAAATACTTTTATTATTTTAAAATTATGTCACTTTTTTGTTTACCACCAAATTCTAATCCTAATCTCGACAACCTTAAAGTAATACCAATGTTTTAAAACCCGGACCGTTAATTGAACCGGCGAAGTAAAAGGGTCGAAATTCAACCGGTCGGACCGGTTCAACCCCGGTTCAATAAATAAATAAATAAATATATATATATAGACACACACACACCTATGCACAGAATAAGATATAAATGCTAAACCACAATTAACATAAGAGCAATATCCACTAATTAACACAAACAATTAACATAGTTATCCAACTTACATGTCTAATTGTCTAAATATTAGAATTAACAAAAAACAATAGAAGTCTATAAAACAATCAAAAGGTCCAAAACTAATTGCCAAAACTAAAATAGTCTTGTAATCCTTAGCAAAAGATAATCCTAGTCTTGTAATAATTGCCAAAACTAAAATATACAAAAAGGCAATTTACATCATACAACTTCCCTTTCCCAAAGTCAAACTTCTTTGACACCTCCAAAGACATATAAAACATCATCCTCGGCAAAAGTATAGGAGTAATACTTTCCCCATTGACACACATCTATGAAACTTTCCCCAGCTTAGTAATACTATTAGCTCATGAAGAACCTGACTGCATGGCACATGCAACATGAACTCTTGCTGAAAATCACAACAGCCTTCCGTGAAGCCAATTTTGCTATGCGATCCATTTAATAATATTGTATTAAAGAAGAAAAGGTCTGAAAGAGAGAAGAAAAGATCAAGATTCAAATTTTACTGATGGGTTTTGAAAAATTCTGGTTATAGATCGATGAAGAATTAAATGTTGATGATTAGATGGAAGACTTGGCTTGGTTCCAGATTGTTGAGACTTGGCTTGATGGAAGACTTGGCTTGATGTGGACATGTATTTATATGGGCATGCAGAGGCAAGGTGAAGGTGGTGGGATTGCTAACTTATTTGAATTGTTTAATGCAAAAGAAGAAAAGGAGTTAAAAAGTTGAAGGTTCTTTGAGATAAATATTGGGATAGATGCTATGCTAAATCCTAAACCCTTTGCTTGACAGTGACTTGTGTGGATCAATACATGTCAGTCTTTGTTGTGCATGGAATCTGTTAGGCTATATAGATAAACCAAACACTACCGAAAGCAGATTCACATTACATAGCTTAATTGGAAGAATTCCAGAGTACGGACAACCTTTTTTAGGACAGATTTGGCGCAATTAACTTCAGTTAGACGTGATCATCAGTAAAAATATTACTCTTGGCTCATGAAGAACCTAACTGCATGGCACACATCTATGAAACTTTCCCCAGCTTAGTAATACTATTGGCACACATCTCATGAAGAACCTGACTTACAGCAAAATCAAAGAACAGAGGTGAGCCATACCAGGCACAGATCAAGCAGTTCAAGAGAAAATATATATATGGCAACCCAGAAAACTGTTCAGTTGTTTTGTTCCTTATAAGTTATAATCCTTTGGAATGTAGGTCTGGATATAAAGATGCAAACCGAACAACAAATGAGAACTGAAAACTTTTCCATTTTGTACAGATTTTCAGTCAGAGAGAGGCTGGTTGATGATTAACAATTTATCTAATATATTTTCAGTGAAAGTAATTTTCTGTCAACAACAATCAAAAGATCAAGGATAACACTCACATGGGAGATACAAAGAGACCAAAAGGAAAGATGTTTCCAGCAACAAGAAGCAAGAGAGTAAAACATTAACGTCATGCAATACCGAAACTCTATATAATGGAACCAAAACGAGGATGAGATTAAATTTTGAGCAAGCTTACACTAAATTTAAGCCGTTCTTCTTTGACAGTGAGGCAAGTATTGGGCCGCTGAACTGGTAATCGCCCAAATTCCTGGAGGAAAATCCAACGGCAAGAAATTGGGTATTGATCGATGAGCAAGTGTGGAAATTGCTATGGATCAAGATTGGAGTTTGAAGTTTTGACTTTGGAGAATGGATTAGGAACGGCAGCAATTGCAGAGGAAGGCAGGAAGCATGAAGATTGAAGACCAAAGCCAAAGGGTGAAGACTGAAGCGGCGGCGAAGCGAAGAAATTGAAGAGGGAACTAAAGGCTAGGTTTAGACTTTAGCTAATTTCGGTCAAAATTCAATCAATTTTGCAAAAAATTAAAAAACCGCGATTCACGGTTCGACCCGAGTTTCAACGGTTTCTTACGGGTTTAACCGATTCTTGGACCAAGTCAACACAAGTTATAAATCGGATCGGACACATGACCGGATCGCGGTCGAACCAGTCGAGCCAACAGATCCGGTCCGGATTTGAAAACATTGAGTGATACAGTAATGTTAGACTTTTCTTTATTTTCTTTTTTTGCAAAATCTAATTTTTTGTTCCCTTCTTTCCTATCTCTTTTTTTTTTCCTAGTATTAATGAATGTGAAAAAAAAAAGAAAATTTGAAAAAACCCTTTTATTTTTATGTTTTTTGATCTCTTAAAGTGAAAAAAAGGAAGAATAACCATTCCAACTTTTTTTATTTTTTATTATATATAAAAAAGGGTAAATATATTTAAAAATTTTTGACTATACTAGTTAGATTAACGATAAGATAAAATGTCTAAAAAATCATGTTAGGAACTAAAGTGATTATATCACTATAATCTAAACGAATAAAGTGATAATAACAAAGTAGTAATGCTATAAAATAAAAGGGTATTTTTGTCTAAAAATTTTTAACATGTTGAGTTGAATTACTTATGGGGATAAAGTGACTAAAATATAACGTTAGGAGGTAAACTGATAGTAGTGATATAGTTTAAAGAAGTAAAGTGATAATAACCCTTTTGTTAATTGTCCTAAATCTATTCTTTTT